GTCTAATACAATATTTCGTCTGATTTCTTGATTGCCGTTTGCAGGTCTTTGACAATGTCAATCTTTTCTTCATTTACGGATGTTGATATTGTTTATTGGTCCAGTGGTACCGATTTTCGTTTTCTTTACATTGAGGTGCAACCCATACCGAAGGCTATGGTCTTTGATCTTTATCAGTATTTTAAATCCTCTTCGCTTTCAGTAAGCAAGGTTGTATTATCTGCATATTACAGGTTGTTAATGAGTATTCCTTCAATTCTGATGCTACGTTTTTCTTCATATAATCCAGTTTCTGGGATTATTTGTGCAGCATACACAGTGAATAAGTATGGCGAAAGGATACAACCCTGGTGGACACTTTTCCTAACTTTAAACCATTTCGGTGTTCCTTGTTCTGTTCAAACAACTGCTTCTTGGTCTATGTACAGGTTCCTCATGAGTACAATTAAGTGTTCCAGAGTACTCATTCTCCACAATATTGTCCATAGCTTGTCATGATCTACATAACTGAAAATCTCTGTGTAGTCAATAAAGCAGAGGTAAACATCTGATATTCTCTACTTCCTGCCAAGATCTATCAGACATCAGCAAAGATATTCCTCATTTCACTGTCTCTTCTGAATCTGGCTTGAACCTCTGTAAGTTCTTTCAATGTATGGTTGCAGCCATTTTTGTATTATCTTTAGCAAAATTTTACTTTCATATTAATGATATTGTCCAATGATTCCTGCATTCCATTAGGTCACCTCTCTTTGGAATGGGCACAGATATGGATCTCGTCTAGTCAGTTGGCCAGGTACCTAGTTGTCTTCCAAATTTCTTGACCTTTAATGAGTACCTCCAGTGCTACAAGTTTGTTGAAAGATTTCCATTTGTATTCCATCAATTCCCGGTTCCTTGTTCTGTGCCAGTGCCTTCAATGCACCTTGGACTTCTTCAGTATAACTGGCTCTTGATCATAGGTTACCTCTTAAAACAGCGGAATACCGATCATTTCTTTTTGGTCCAGTTACTCTGTGTATTCCTTCCATCTTCTTTTGATGCTTTCTGCATCATTCAATATTTTGCCCATAGAATCCTTCAATATTTCAAGTTGAGGCTTTAAATTTTTCTTCAGTTCTTTCAGTTTGAGAAATGCCAAGAATATCCTTCCCTTTAGGTTTTCTAACTCCAGGTCTTTGCAAATTACCATTAGTGATTCGAAATGTTAAACCAATTCCCCCCTCTTTCAGTTAAACCCATATTGGCCATGGTGTTTGCCTCTTTTTATTCCTGGATCACTCAGTATTTTACTGCTATGACCATTTTTGGAGATAAGCCTGTGATTCTTGTACTATCCGTCTCGTTTCGGTATCCGGAATCTGCTGGTCTTAGTATGTAATGAGTCACAGGATTGTTTTTCAATTCTCTAGAATAGCTGGAATGACTTGTGCATTGTTGGAGTCATTTTCTTCTTAAATGTAAGATAGAACTTATCAGAGAAGTCTCTGGACATGTAGTATTTACAGGAGAAAATTTCACCACTGATGTAATTTTTTTCCTCTCAATTATATGGGGCTGCTCAGGATTCCTATTTCGTGTTGGGTCTGTTTTGGCAGGTTGTATTCTTGCAGAAATTTTATATACGAACTCCCACATTTTGGCCAAGAAGCTGTTTTTATCATCTTATCTTTCTTCAGATGATAGCATCTATAGTGTACCACTGTTTCATCTTGAAATTGTTTGTGCCTTTCTTATTGATAAATTTCGTCACAGGCTAATACATACTGTTTTGTAGAAAGCTTTCCCACTGTGTTGGTAACACCTGTCTGCTGTCTCCATGCTCTCTGCTTTCTTTGGCCTTTCTGGTGAATTCTGACTTCTTCCACACCTTTGTTCATGACTATAAAATACTTAGTTCCATTAGTTTCATCCTACAAGTTTTGATACGTGACGTTTTTGAATCAATTTTAAAACTTTCTAGTATGATTTATCTTTTGACATAGGTTATTTAGCAGCATAGTTCTTATTATGTAAGAATGACTCTTCCTAGTTTGCAAGGTAACGTTATGATTTCAATACTTTCAAATTTGTGTAAATTTGCTCTAGAGCTACATACATAGCTTTTTGAAGACTGGTGTTTCCTTGAGAATTATATTCTGTAGTCCCATGATGCAGTGTGCTCTATATTTGCCACCAGGCCAGTTGTGCTAACTGGAATGCTAAAATATCCCCCATCCTTCCTGGAATCGTTTTCCTGTTTGTTCCAACAATTTCTAAGAAAGGTACATGAAAGTCTCTCAAACACAATGGTAAATTTGGATGACAATCCTTTCTGTTCTTGAATTTCTGAGTTAGATGTAAGAATGATTAAACAGTCAATACAAAAGGTAGCAGGAATAGAGAACATGCCTCTGAGCAGGGACTGATATAAAACACACATGGTGAGGGGTTCAAACCCAAGAAAACGGTAATCACATCATGGGGAACTGGAGAAGGCTCCAAAAGAACACAACTTGTCACACTGCCGAAGATAAAATCCAGTGAACTCCTGTTCCCAGGAGCTACATCTAACCAGGACATAAAAGGTCCAAAGTCTGACCCTCCGTGTGCCAAGCTCCTTCAGGAGGGGAGTGGCTTCCTGAGGTACTGAAGACACCCCTACTGCTTTTCCTCCTGAGCCCCTTGAGGTGGCCTGGGGGACAGGTGTCTGTCTCTATCCTGATGTGTTCAAGTGGACGTTGCTTTCGTTTCCAGGTGGCTGGCTAACGGCAGGGAGAGCCTGAAGACCCCTTGAAGCTTCAGGGGAGGAAGGCAAGGTCTCAGTCACCCTGAGTCTGGATGGGGAGACCAGGGATCTTCTCTACCTGTTGTTAAGTGCTGTCAGGTTGGTTCCGACCCATAGCGACCCCATATAGAGTTTCCAAGGAGCGACTGGTAAGCTTGAACCACCAACCTTGCCGTTCAAACCAACTTTGCAGTCCAGCGCATTTACCCACAATGCCACACCAGGATTCCTATCATTACTTCTCAAACTCACAATCTCCATTCCAAAAGTCCCCTCCGATTCTCTTATGAAAGTAACCTCTTTCTTCCTCAAAACAGCCCAGCAGAATAGGTGGGGGATGAAGCTTTATCAAATCAGATTCTGTAAGGGTTTCAGGGAACAACTGCGGAAGGTTCTGGGCAGTGTATGTCTGGAGCTGAGCTCTACACCTGGCTGTCTGACCATGAGCAGGTCACTTACACTCCTGCATGGTCCCAGGGCTAATGCCTGTAAAACCAACAAAACAAATCCCTGCTGTCACACGGTATACGATGGGGTCATGCTTGGCTGAGTGGGGGAAAGCGGGTGAGGGTAGGCAGCCAGCAGGTGGTATGAAGAGCGCCCCCACCCAGGCAGATCTCCGTCTTCATCCAGGGTCCATCTCTGTGGGGTCTTTGGGGCAGAGGCCTTGAGAACCTGTCTGCTCTCTATTCTGAGCTGCAGCCCGCTGTGCTGGTGAACATCAGCCACACAACGCACATCAACTCTCTCACTCACATGTCCTCACCCTTCCTGGGGCAGCTGTTCGCCCCAAGCCACGTCCTGGGCTTTCACTATTCCCCACCCCCTACATGCCCCAGGAGAAGGGACCAGCGGCTCAGGCCCATTTGCTGTGGGAAGCTTGGCCCAGCAGTCTCTGCCTCCCAAGCCCCACCAAGAGCCTGTCCTTGGTTCTCCAATGGCAGCTTTGTGCAAACTCATGGAAGGCCTTTCCTCCCTGGGCCCTGAGGATGCCTCACTCAGAACAGGGTCTCGGGAACTCAGGGTGGGAGGATGGGACCCAGGAGGCAGTGGTCACAGTGCTGGGCTGGTGCCACCCACTGCCCGAGGTGGAGGTGGTGGATCCCATAACACGGGGCAGCCCAGTCCCTCAGGTGGTGGCACGCTTCCCCGAGTCCATCACCACCTACAAGAGCCAGGCACCTTTTTCTTGAATTCTAGATGCCACATGATTAGGCCAGCAGACACCTCGGAGCAAGGCGCTCCCACCGTGCGGCCTATATCACAGCTGGCACTGCTCCCGGCGGTGGGCAAGAGTCACACGTGGTCCTGAGAGTAGAATGGAGGCCTGCAGAGACGGCCTCATGGACACAGATGCACAGAGCCACATGTGTGTGTGAGGTGTGCACAGACTTTACACAGCACACCCACCCTCTACACACACACATAGATGTATTACACACACATCTCCTCACATGCACGCACACAAAGCACGCATGCCCTAACACTATGCACACATGCACAGCACACATGTAGCCCACACATATGCACTACACACACATCCACACATGCATACAACAGAGCACACATGGACACCCTATGCACAGCAACACATGTATATAGTCCCTCCATATGCACACACACTAACTTGCATAGATGCACAACACCTGCTTGAGTACATCTGCAACACCATCACATATATGCACAGCACACAACACAGATCCACTCATCTGCACACATGCACATAGTCCCCATACAGTATGCATATATGCACCACACATTTGCACAAGTGCACGCCATACAACACAGACATATATATGTATATATATATATATTGCACACATGTACAGTCCTCACACCCTCACATGTACTGTATACACCACACATACACACATGTGCACTGCACACAGCCCCCAGACCTTCATATAAACATGTACACAGTCCTCACACATGCAGAGGCAGTGTAATCACATGCACTCTTACACACACAATGTGCACAGTACACCGCACAGACACGCCCCACCCCACACACTGTTCACTTTGGCACTTTGGCAGGGCCAGCGGGAGGGCCAGGGAGAGGTCAGCGACATTTCATTGAACCTGAGCCAAGAGAGAGGTGTGGCCCCCCACAATGTCCTCCCTGAGCAAACTCCACCCTGGGGCCAGTCAGGGTTCCAGAAGGGTGATGGGAGAGACTGTACAGACGCTGGGATGGGAGGGTGAGACGGCCCCCCAGGAGGTGCTGGGGGCATCCTCAGCAGGGCGCCCACCTCACTTCTCCATGCCCCCCTCCCCAGGACGCTTTGGGCACTGTCCCCTGAGCTCCCCCAGTGTCCATAAGCTGAGTTAGGATGTGGGCTGGTGCAGCTACTGCACTGGCCTCAGGGGACGGGACGGTCTGGGGGGCCATGGGGGCAGGCACTGGAGACAGGTGGGGGGTCTCGGGGGGGTACACAGTTCTGGCCACACAGCCACAGGTGAGTCCCAAAGGTGGGGCTGAGCCTCGGGCGGTACCTGGAGGCTGACGCTTCCTCACAGGAGGCCCCACAGAGCCACCCTCCCCTGGGCCCCGTAGGAGTTTGTGTCTGGGTCTGGCAGGGCCTGGCCGTCTCCGGTAGGGTGGGCATCTGTAAGCTCGGGGCCTCAGCCTGGAGCCCCAGCCCTTTAGCTTGTGGGCCTGCGGGTGCCACCTGAGTCGATTCACCTGGTCCTTCATGGCGGCCACGTCCCGAGACAGGCTGGCCAGAGTGGTGGCAAGCCAGTCGAGTTTCCTGGAGAGGGTGGTACTGAGGCTGCTCAGTTCCTGCTGGAGGGTCCTACAGGGGCACACTGGCCCAGTGGGGACAGCAGGGACCTCGGAGTTAGCTGTAAGCAGAGGTGTACTCAGAGTCTGTCGATGATGAGAACCATTTCTCTTCCTGGAGCTCTCCGGCAAGGTGCACCCAGCCACCACCTCACCTGTGACAGGTGAGCTGTCAGGTGCAAGCTGCAGGCTCCTGGTCTGCTGCCAGGCCTCGTGGCCAGGGGCAGGTCGTTCCTCAAGGCATGGGGTGAGGTGTGGAGGTGCTGCAGGTGGTAGAGAGGTGTGGATTTGGGTCTCGGGTATGCACACAGAGCCATTCTGATGTGGAGGGCCTGTAACATGGCCTGAAAAGCAGAAATCAAACTTACAACTTTGCAGAACATGCAAGTGAGCTATCTGGCAGTCACCCTTGCTGCTTCTGGAGGGTGGGGAATGTCTGGCTCGTGGGCCATAGAAGGCCAAGGCAACCTCAGTTCCAGCTATCACATTAGGGATGTGACCACATTCAGTGTTTGACCAAATACAGTAGCATAATTTTCAAGCTGATCATTTTGCATGGCCCATGAATGATGTTATAAATTTTGGCAGAAACAGATTCCCCACCCCTGACGCAGGGCATAGCATGCAGACAGGGCGTAAACAGGCTGCTGAACTTGGTGAATCCACGGGCTCCTACAGTCCCAACGGGCTCCTACAGTCCCAACGGGCTCCTACAGTCCCAACGGGCTCCTACAGTCCCAACGGCCTCCACTTCTCTGGCAGCGGTGTGCAGACACCTGACTCGAGGCTCTCATAGAGACTGCCCTGGGCTCCCAGGGCAGAGAGGACATGGACAGCCCAGTCTGTATGAGGCCAAGCTGCTCCTGCTGACCGCTAGCCACTGACCCCATGAACCCTAACCCATTCTTGGTGGTGCTTTCTGATTTCCCTGAGGAGAAATTCTGCTTGGAGCCTGGAGCTTGGGGTAAGCAGGAGCCTACCCAGCTTTTTGATGTGTGGGAAGCTTCCTGCATATGTTATCATGGTATTCCCGGACATTCCTCAGGAGCTATGAGAGCTCTTGTCATGTGTAACCCATCGTGGGGGGCAGATCTGCAGGAGTCAGGATTGAGTGATGAGTGGGTCAGAGAACCAGGTATAAGACTTAAAGCAGATGTGGGTTTGTGACCCCAGAGATGACCGAGTCCCCTGCATGGATCTCTGCCATCCCCAGGCTCTGCTGTCTCTGAGGCTGGGGGTCCACCAGTGTGAAGTTACCCTGAAGATATGGACATCTTGTGTCCTGGCAAGATCACCCTAGAGACATGGGGGCCCCGTGTCCCACTCCCTGCCCCAGAAGTGGGGATTCTGTGTCCTATCTCCTGACCACGAGCTCACCCTAGAGACATGAGAGTCTTGTGTCTTGTCCTTGGGAGCCCTTGTACCCTCCTCCCTCCCATCAGCTCATCCTAGAGACAGTGGGGTCCTGAGTCCTGGTCCTCGCCCCGTGAGCTCACCCTGGAGAGGCAGGGGTCCCAGGTGGGCCTCCAGCCTCTGGTTTTCTCCTTCGGAGCTGCTGGGGCTGGGGCTGGGGCTGGGGCTGGGGCTAGCCAAGCAGCTGAAGCGCAGGGGCTGAACAGGGAGCATCCCTTCCAGAGATCTCTCCAGGTGGTGCAGTGGAGAGGGCTTGGCGGCTGTCCCTGGAAAATGAGAACTTAAAACCTCTGCCATCTGACAGTCCCTCTCAATTCTGCAACCTAGGTGGCGCCCTTCTGCCTACGGACAGGCCTGGCCGGGTGCCCTGTCCAGCCCCTCTGGAAGTCACTGTGGAGCTGCCGGAGGCCCAAGATCACCGGGATTCGGCCCTATCAGGCCTGGATCCTGGCCCAGACTCAGTCACTGCGTTCTGGAGGCTGGCCTGGCCTGGGGAAATGCCATACACCGTGTCTGTTAAAAAAAATGTCTTCTGGCTGTTTCAATAGACACAGGCTGGAGTTCTGCTGTAAGGGGAGACTGGGGACAACAAGAATGGGTCTCTTTCCCTCTCTGAGGCATTGCCCTCACTGTGCCTTCTTCTGCCTTCGTTCTCAGGAGGGACAGTGAGAAGGAAGGCAGAGGAGCATCACTGAGGGAACTACCAATATGCTAGCAGCCACCACCCAGCTGGGACCTGCTCCCCGGGTCCTGAGGTGACAGTGGGGTGAGGTCAGGCAAGAGCCACAGCCCAGGTGGACTGGGCACTCAGCTCCCTCAGAACCTCATGGACTACAAGCTAACAGTGGGGGACAAGGACCTTCCTGGAGCCTGCTCAGAGCCCCCTCGCTGCCTGTTTCCTGGGGTCCCACACTGGATTAGTGCCCAGATGCTAGGCATTTGGTCACCAGAGCCATGGCCCAGAGGGAGGCTGGGAGGGCTGGGAGCTCCACTGGCCTGTGGCCATCACTGAGCATTAGGTTCTAAGGCGTGCAGCTTTCTCTGGCTTCTGGCCTCAGAGGCGGCCTGTCTCATTCCATGCACTCAGCCTGAGTCACAGCCTCCTGTTAAGTCTCAGCTTACCTTCCTCACATGGTGTCCAGGTCCCAGGGTCTGTACCTGAGGGCCAGGGCCTAGTGGGCTGTGGCCTGGGCTGGGGACTCTCTCGGAGGCGTCTTTCCACCAGGGGGCTTCCCACTGGACTTCCTGAGAAGGTCAAGCTTGCTTAGTCTCAGTGTCAGAATCCGCAGCCTCAGGACCAAGGCCAGGTCCCTAAGCAGGCTGCTGCCCTGTCCTGACCGGGCCACATGACCTGGGCCGTGTCTCCTCACCAGCAAGCACAGAGACCTCCTGGACTGCACCCTGCCTGCCCACAGGCCTACCACCACAGATGCCTCC